GACCACACTGATGGACTTCAGTGTCCTCTGCCCACAGACCATCCCTTTGAAGAGCACTGGTCTCGACCACACTGATCGACTGCAGTGTCCTCTGCCCTCTAGCTGTAAATCTCAGTCTCACTCTCAGACCAAACCAGGAATCCCATGTGACCACTTACTGGGCAAACCAGATTTCCAGATAGATCCGTGGAAAAGCTCAGTTCGCATAGTAATTTGGGGAAGGGGTGGGGTGGGGGAGAAGAACTTGGTGAATTTGGCCGTCTGCATTTGGGTTCCTGCAGCTTGATGGTGGTCTTCTTCTGGAATCTAGGGATTGGAAAAGTAACTCACTGCTGCTTTTAGAGGTTTGGAGGCAGAGGGCCGATTTCTAATACCCTCATTATTTTGAGACATAAACATAAGAGCATATGGCAGACTATGGAATATATCTGCCAGCTACTCTCGAAATTATTAGAGCATTTACAGAATTGATGTTGATTTGGTAGACATAATAGGCATCAGGAAACCTGAGCTTTGGTCTTTTCTCTACTGCGAGTTCCTTCTGAGATCTCTGGACAGCTCTACATTCTGTCAGCTTGTTTCCTCATTGGTACAGTTAAGGTAGGGAAGTGGGGGAAGGAGCAAGCCTTCCTTTCCTAAAGCTGTAAAATAATGTCACTCTGCATAGAGCTGTAGTCAACGCAGAAGGACAGGCTACCAGGGTGTAACAGTATTTAATTCTAATCTCAAAGCTCCTTTGAAAAATTACTTAAGGAATGCAACTAGAATAATACTTGAGATTCTGCCAAAAGTCCTAGTGCAGACACTTCACCCTTTCACTTTTTAAAATTAATTCCATGAAATCTGAGCATTTCAGATTTTTCTAATCTCATTGTGATTTTTCAGTGCCTGTAAAGTACCTGAAGAGACTGTATCTGAGGATTTTTGAAAGAGTAGTTTTAGTTATTGGAAAATGAATGATGATGCTGATCCCATATTTCATATGAAGCAAGGTTCTAGTTGATACTTGACCAGTCTCATAGATTTTGAAGGTGAAGGAAATTCATTTAATTAGCTTTGTGTTTATGATGAGAAAAAATATAAGAAAAATATTTTATTACCTTAAGGAGTTAATATCGTCATCCATGTATTGTTATTCTTCCTATTTAACAGTTGACATTTCAAGAAAATAAAATGTTATTACTTTTCATTGTTCCTTTCCCTGGATTTTGAGACAATTTTCTCTTTAAAAAATAATATAAGAGAAGGAATATTACATAAAAATTCTTTATACATTAGTTTTTAGTTTTTTGGTGCCTTTTTTCACTGAGTAACAGTAAATACAGGCAGGTTATTCTCTGTTGTGCTTTAAAGATTGTAAAACCAGTGTGATTTTATGGCATAAAATAAGTCATTTGAGAGTGCCCCCCCCACCCCGATTTCAGCAATTAAAATTACAATAATCAGGAGCTTTTATGATGCTTTCTAAAGTCAGGACAGTGTTAATTTTACATTTTCCTTCCTGTATGTAATGAACTGGTATTTATTAATCTGTTTAGTTTTGAAATTTTATAGGGTTTTTCTATTATCTTTGAAGGTTTTCCTCAGAGTAAGATTTTCTAAAATATGTATGCAGATAATTACATTCTTTTTCCATATGATGCTTTGAAAACCATTGACATTCTTGATATTTCCTATCAAGGTTAAATAGTGGTAACATTTTTCTAATTTTTAAAAATGTGTTTTTAAGCCTTATGATTCTGCAGATGACTGGTCTGAGCATATTAGCTCTTCTGGGAAAAAGTACTACTACAATTGTCGAACAGAAGTTTCACAGTGGGAAAAACCAAAGGAGTGGCTTGAAAGGTATTTGCTCTTCATCTGAGTTAAACAATATTTCTCATTTCTTGATTCTACAGGTTAACATCTCATGGCATTAAACATAGTAGTTTTAGGTTCTTTGTTGTAACATCCCTCATTCCCCTTTGTAATTGCAATGGCTAATCCATCGTTAAGAGTTCCATAATTCTCTTTAAAAAAAATCTAGGACTGATAGGCAACTGTCTACGTGGACCTTGTAAATAAAAAATACATATTGTTAATTTGCATAGATGCATCTTAAAATTCTTGATAGGAGTCCTTGTAATTTTTATAGGACAATAATAAGATGCTTTCTTCATATATGTAGAATTAATATGACAACATTTTGATTAGGGTTAGTGGTATAAATTATTGGTATAATTTTGCCATCAGTGAGAAACATTAGTGTTCTGTTTGCTACATCCCGTTTCCCCACATGAGTCAAACTAGATTATGGCCATGTTCCATTCTTTTATTTGCCATGTCCCATTGCACTGAGCATTCGGCCGGAAGTGTTACATGGAGACTCATGTAATTCATGATGTATTTACGGGCTCATCTGGTTTACTTCCAGAGAACAGAGACAAAAAGAAGCAAACAAGATGGCAGTCAATAGCTTCCCGAAAGATCGGGATTACAGAAGAGAGGTGATGCAAGCAACAGCCACCAGTGGGTTTGCCGGTGGGAGTAAGTATTAATTGTTTTCTTTGAAACGATGTAGTGTTTGATTCATTCTTGCAATTAATTTATTTTTACAAACCTATATGCGTAGTCATCTACATATGTAAAGCATAAAATTCATACAACCGTACAGGGTTTCTTTAACGTTGGCTCACCCCACAGCCTCTCCACCGTTTTGTTTCCTGCAGAGGAAAGAGGGTACACAGTGGAATTGTACAGGTATACATCACTACCTGTATTGCTTGTAATGTAGTCAAATTGGTAAAAAAATAAAATAAAATGAAATAAGTTTTGAGTTTTGGATTGAGCGTTTTTTCCTGAATTGTGTCCTTTTAAACTAGAAACTGAAATGCTTTCCAGGACTCACTGGGTTTGAGTCTTATGATTGAATCAGAGCCACAACACAGGGACATCAGAGGACCTGTGGCGTTCTGTGTTATCAGTGAGAAACTCGTTTATCCTTTTATCTGGAAACTAATTTCACCACTGTCATGGAAGTATGCAACATTTTCTCCATATTAAATTTCCTCAAAATTACTAAAATACCTACCGGTATTGTTCCGAGGTGGTCTTCATTTATAACTCAAACCGTGGACACACTGTAATGTTCTTTTGAGATCCAGTTTTGCCCAGCTGGAAAGCTTGGGTAATACACATTTGGTTTTTGATTCAGCTTGAAGATTTATTAAAGATATTCTGTTCCTAGTGGCTTCCCTTGGCCTGAATAAAAACGAAATGCTATATAAGAGTTCTTGGATTCTTTAGTAAATTTTGAAAGAGTTTTAAGATGTGGTCATAGAATTCTTAGATTTAATGCTTTGAATCCTTCTGGAACTCCAAACAAAAAAATGAGGGGTGTATTGTAAGGGATATATTGATTCTTTCATTTAATACAAAAAATTATTTAACACTGAAACAAACATTAACAGTTCTGCTAGGACTGGATGTTTAAAATATGTTTTTTGGAACATTTAATTTTTTTTATAAACTATTGCTGAAATTGTACCTGATTCTTAGAAAGGAAACTGATTCAAAGTATCGGAGTTGTAAAGTTAAGAACATTGTATTTTGAGGCAGAGGACTTGGACTGTAGTGCCCATTTCATTTAACATTTTAAGTAACTGTGACTTTTGGCAAACAATTAAAAATGAGACAAAGGTTGTCTGTTGAGGAAAATAAATGGTACTCAGCTTGTGAGCCTCCTGCATAAATTGGAGGTATAGGAGAGGAGTGGCAAATGGAGGCTAAAGTAGTAACCTTTTTCAGTAAATGAAGAATTGAGTGGGAGAATGCAGTGTTGTGGAAGAGCCTGTGGGCCTGCTGCCTGGATCCCAGAATGAGGTAGCACTGGACTGAGCTAGGCCTCGCCAGATTCTGGCTGCCAAAGAGAAAGAACAGGGCTGAGCATGTCTGCTGTTTCTTCCCAGAAGAATCAGTCATTGAAATTATGTCTCCTGTAGGGTAGAGGAAATGAAGGGAGGGATTAGAGATATGATAGAAAAATTCATGGGAAGTGAAAGTATTATTTTTCTCTTTTTAATAATAATAAACTCTCTCTAAGGAAATAAAGTCAGAGTTGTGCTGTGTGTGTTTGTCTGTTTGCATTTTTTCTTACAAAAATGAAATAGTCTTTTCTTCAGGATTTTAAAATAAAGCATGTTCATTATTACAAACAAAACTGAAGAAGAGAGTGACCCTGACGGAGCAGGAGAAAAGTGGGGTGCAGAACTCAAATTCTGGTAGAAAGACGAGACTTCATGGTCTGACTGAGACTGGAGGGACCCCGGCAGACATGGCCCCTGGACACTCTGTTAGCCCAGAACTGAAACGTCTCCCGAGGCCAACTCTTCAGACAGGGATTGGACTGGACTCTGGGACATAAAGTGATACTCCTGAAGAGTGTGCTTCTTAGCTCAAGTAGATACATGAGACTAAATGGGCAGCTTCTGTCCGGAGGTGAGATGAGAAGGCAGAGAGGGTTAGGAGCTGGTTGAATGGACACGGGAAATCATGGATGGAAGGGAGGAGTGTGCTGTCATGGTATAGGTTGAGGAACTAGCATCACATAACAATATGTGTATAGATTTTTGTATGAGAGACTAACTTGAATTGTAAACTTCCACTTTTAAAGCACAATTTTTAAAAAAAGTGAAAATTTTTTAATCCCATGACCCAGGAACGTTTTGGGATATATACTTTTCCCCATATGCATATAAACATATATAAAAATTATGTGTATGTATTTTATGCCAAAAACTGAGATTATATATTATTGCTTCCAGCCTGCTCTTTTGATCGGTAATATTTCAGGGGTATTATATTTCCATGTCAGTTTGTCTAATTGACCTCATAGTATTCCGTTGTTTGGATGTGCCATCATTTAAAAATAATTCCCTATCCATGGATACTTGGATGGTTTCCAACCTTTTCCTACTATAAAGAATGCTATGATTCACATCTTTGCCCACTTATTTGATAGTTTTCTCAAAATAAATTCCTAGATGTACAAATGATGAATCAGTGGGTTTGTGTTTGTATTGAAATGTAGTCGTATATCACACCTTTTGGGGGAAGTTTGAGTGTTTTAAGTAATGTTTGGAAAGGACTGATGCCGTCTTTGTTTTATATATGTATGTGTGTGTCAACTGAGCTACATTTGGTGTGGTACTAATAAAATCAGTAAGCCGTTTGAGTGTTAGAACTGTCCATCCGAAATGCTGGCAGAGTTTTTCCACGTATCCAATACATTGGTATTCCTGTAGGGTGAGGCTTAAAGCTTGTAGTTCCAGACTGCCAGCAAAAGAAGAGTGGAGGATGGGGGGCAGGACTGGGAAGATTTTACATGTAAAGTGATAAAGAGGTAGAAAAATAGATTTTAGTACGTTTTCTTTTTGCAGTGCAGTATAAAGATTTTTCAGCCGTGTTAATGATATCTGTAACTTGATATTTAAAATTGTATGGATAAAGTTTTTTATTGGATGCTACCTCTGCTAGATTATTTTTATCATCTCTAGTCTGTGCCTCGTAGGGTTACTACTCTGGTTAGAGAAACCTTCATGGGGTTTTGTCACCAGTGGCATGAACGCCATTCTGGACCTGATAATTGTTTGTTGTGGGAGGCTGCCTTCTAGATTGAAGGCCTCTGCACACTGGATGCCAGTGGTGCACCTCCCTCTCTGCAGTCACGACAACCATGTGTCTCCAGACACCGCTGAACGCCCCATGGGGATTGGTGCACGGCAGCCTCCCTCGAAAGCCACTGCCTTGACTGTGCGCTGTCCGGGGTTGTGAGTAAGAGGAAGCTGTTGCGTCTAAAGCTTCCATAGTTCTTGTCATTTTGCTTTTTTTATTTTTTTAACTTACAGATGTTATATGAATTTTTTAATTTTCATCTGAATACATTTACTTGATACAGTCTGACTGTAGCCATGCAGAACTAGAAGGAAATTTTATTTGTCAAGGAATTAAAAAGATCTAGGCAATCCAGTGACAGAAGGATTGGTGGGACTTGGACTAGGATTATTCTTGTTATATCTGTTCCTAAAGGTTTCTACTGTAGTAACATTCTTCGCAGGAAGAAAACCTAGAATAAAATTTAAAAAGGTACATGTGCATGCAAATTTATAGCTTATTGACTAGGATCACGCAATGGATATTTGTTCTGCTGTGATAGCTCAACATTCCTGCATTGATCTTACGTTTATTTTTTATTTTGCTGATAAAACAGTATAGTAAGTATGTAACTAGTAATAGTAAATTTTATTTTTAGGTCATTACTAACTCAGAAGGTCTTGTGTTTCCATGTGTTGGGAAGCATGTTGGCAGTGCCCCGGTACTTTTGGTTTGGTAGCGTGTAGGCATGTGCAGTAGGTACTGACAGCTTCACATCTGACTTGTGGTTGGAGCATCCTTCCTTGTTTGTGCTGTCATGGCCTCTAGAACTGGAAGAGCCGTGAATTTGATAAAAATACTGCTACATCCATCAGAGAGGGCGTTCTGTGGTGACACTGTCACTGCGTACCGTGTTTTGGAATACGAAGGCGTTTATCTACTTGGAGGGAGGATATTTTAATTATTTCGTTACTGACTGAACTGTTGTAGCTCAGGCTAGATATTTTTTCTAAGTACAGAACTTGTCAACTTGTGATTGTTGAAGTTCTCTTTCTCTGCGCTCTTGCGGAAGCATAGTGCTCATGGTAGAGCTTCAGCTGTTCTGAGTACTTGTTTCTGAGTTTAAAGTATTTAAAGTATTTTTACGGCTTTAAGTTGGAAGAGGGTCTGTTTTTAATATAGCTGGTGATAGCATGCAGATTTTTTTCTGACAGTACTGTGATAAGAACTTCTCTTCAGATAGCATTATGTATTGTGATTTTATAACAAACTCTGGTGTTTGTTTGCGTTATTAAAAATATGAATTGGCCTACTTATTAAATGCACAGTTCATCATAAGTTCATCAATCCTCAAATGAGGTTGTTTAATCCCTGGCATAAACCGCTTTAGGGCCCACTGATTAACTACCTTAGTATCCAGAACAATCAGGCTAGTGAAACTAATATTCCTTTGCAGTTGAACCACTGTGGGTAATTCAGTCATTTATCAGTACCCATGGTCCAGATTTTAAAAGGATGGACCATTTACTTTTTCTGTTTTTAAAATATTTTTAGATTTTTTTATTTGAATAAAGTGTTATTCCATATTTTAAAAATATGTATATTTTGTTGGAACTTCGGTGTGATTCCAAAGAATCCCAAAAAGCTAGTAGCCCATTTGAAAGCCCAATGAAATATGAGTATATATTAATATTTATAGTTGAGCTAAGATGCCTCTTCTAGTATTTGAATATTTACATGCTAGTGGTAAAACTGCAGATACTAACTGGGCTTGCAGTTTTATAAAAAGATATGCAAGTATGTTGCTACATTAGCTGTTGTTAAAGACAGAATTCTAACGTAATCTTTTTTCTTCCCCCTTCCGTCATTCCAACATCTCTTTTTACGAACTGTGAACTAAAGTGGAAGACAAGCATTCCAGTGATGCCAGTAGTTTGCTCCCACAGAATATTTTGTCTCAGACAAGCAAACACAATGACAGAGACTACAGACTGCCAAGAGCAGAGACTCACGGTAGTTCTACGCCAGTACAGCACCCCATCAAACCAGTGGTTCATCCAACTGCTACCCCAGGCACTGTTCCTTCTAGTCCATTTACGCTACAGTCTGATCACCAGCCAAAGAAATCATTTGATGCTAATGGAGCATCTACTTTATCAAAACTGCCTACACCCACATCTTCTGTCCCTGCACAGAAAACAGAAAGAAAAGGTATGCCATTATTACTAGATGCTGCACGTTGAACTAGAGTTTCTGATTACATTACATTATTTCTTTTAGCTTAAGTAAGTCTTTTAAATATAAAATTTGTTTTAAAAGTCTTTTAGAATGTTACTGTATAGATTTAGGCCTAAAGGTAGCCAGATTTAGCTTTTCCTTTTAATTTATAATTATTGAGCCTCAGAACTGTTTTTTGCCTTTTGACACTTGGAAGTCAAATGCTTAACTTGTAACAGTTAACAATGGTTTAAATAACTTGTCAAAGTCAAATGACTGTCCCTTCATATTTGTTCAAAATAATTTCCTGTTTTTGTGATGATTGTCTTGATGGTTTAGTTTAGAAATTGTCTCAATTTTCTGTTTTAGTGAGTAGAGGCATTTTAAAATCTGTCATTTCTACGTAACATGCAGTTACTGGTTTCAACTTGTGAATTTGAAAACTAAGTCATGGTAAAAGGCTCAGGCTTCTAGCTCCAAGGACTGTTAATGTCTGAATAAGAACTTAAGCTTGAAGAGTAGAAGTTAGACATCGCAATCCAAATTGCAATCATAGCATGTTCAAAAGGTTAGAGAAAAATTGTAACACTTCACAGCTACTTGGGAGGTGACGAGAACATAACAGGTTAATGATACAAGTATATATGCGTAGACTACTCACAATCCCAAACAGCCTTCATGTTATGTTTGAAGAGGAAATTAAAAGGCAGTGAGTGAACAAATTCCCGTGTGTGGACCAAGCAGACCACGCGTAAGTGCTGAGGAGCTTTCCAATGTCCTGTGGATTGAGGACATGCTGCATGGATCTCATGACTCTCTAAGCCCGTAATCTCTTACTTGATCCATTATTTCACATTGGTTCAATTTGTTGAAAACAGTTCCAAATAATTGGCTTCATTTTGTTCCTGGTTTCCTCTCGCCAGTATACATCCTGTTGGAATTTCCCTTGTACTGTAGCAGCTGTGTTACGTGTAGCTAAACGGTAGACTTCTGTCCTGTGGTACATAATGTAATTAAAGAGACTGTGGTTGTTCCGAATGGTATCCATTCCTTAAAAATCATTTGTACCCAAGTTCACATGTATGTCTCAGATTTACCCTGATACAGAATTAACTTAAAAAAGATAATTAAGTTTCAGCGAATGTAGTGGTTGTTAACATGGAACTACTTTCTAAAGGATGTTATAGGTACTCCAGTTTTTGGAATTTTGTTTGAATATTTGGTCATAAAAAAAATTTATTTGAAAATTCCTTGTCAGTTTAAAAAAATCTATCCTATGGTCTTTATATAGTCTTTATCCCATTTCACCTCTTGTTTATTTAACACTTTTTATCTCTTCTCCCCTTTTTGAAATTCTTTCTTTCCTGGCTCTTGTAATACTAAAACCGGTTGTCTTCGTGCCAACTCATGGCAGCCCTGTGTGTGTCAAGTAGAACTGTACTCCATAGGGTTTTTTGTTTTATTTTTGTAAGTATTTTATTGTGTTTTTGGTGAAGGTTTACACAGCAGTGTAGGTTCTCATTCGACAATTTCTACACAGATTGTTCAGTACTTTGGTTACATTTGTCACGATGCGTGAACATTTTCGTCAGGGACAGATTACCCAGTAATCAAGGTAAGCACATGCTTTGGGCATCAGCAAAACGGGCTCCAGTTGTCCAAAGCAAAGACTCTTAGATGCCAAGAAAAGTTGAGCACTGCAACGAAAGGAAACTGGCAGGGCACTAAATTAAACTGATACCAGCTCCAGCATGTGAGAATCTGCTAGCCAGAAATGAAGTTCACACAAGGTCATGAGGGCGCCCATGCGGAAGGTTATTTAAGCTTTGAGGCCCCTACCACTTCAATACCTTCATTGCTATCTGTCTTTTAGGGTCCCTTCCAGTTTAATTGAAACTCCTTATCTCAGCACATCTCTTGGGAGTACAACTGTTTCTTTCTAATAAACAAGAGGGTGGCGGGCAGGGGCGGGGTGGAGGGGCGGCTGTCGAATCTAGTTATTGCTGCATTCACCCACTAAACATTCTATAATCCAGTTATTTCATTCCACTCAAATGATATATGCCACTTTTGCATTCAATCGCTAGTATTATAGTCAGATTTAAAAAGAACTTACATCATGGATAGCTAAGACACACAGGCATATATAAGTCACGTTTCCTGTTTGAATGCGTGAGTAGGCAGAGGAGGGGCCACCAAAGATTGTCAGTGTTCAGGACCCTCCCTTGCTTTAATCCAGCCCGATTCTTATTATTTCCATTCTGGTGGTTCTGTTTCCATTAATCTAGTTTCCCTGCTCCCTTACATTCTCATCTTTGTTTTAAAGGAATTGTTGACCATTTGGTCTCATACAGGTAATTTTTTTTTTTTTAATAGTGCTTTAGATGGTTTAACAAATAGTTTCTCATTAAACAGTTAGTACACACGTTTTATGACATGTGGTTAACAACCCCACAACATGTCAACACTCTCCCTTCTCGACCTTGGGTTCCCTATTACCAGCTTTCCTGCCCCCTCTCCCTTCTGGCCCTTGTCTGTTGTGCCCCATTAGTCTCGTTTTGTTTTATGGGGCTGTCCACTCCCCGGCTGAACGGTGAACCTTGGAAATGACTTCATCACTGAGCTAAAAGGGTGTCTGGGGGCCATACTCTCAGGGTTTCTCCAGTCTCCTTTAGGCCAGTAAATCTGGTCTTTTTTTTGTGCATTAGAATTTTGTTCTACATCCTTCTCCAGCTCTGTCCAGAACCCTCTGTTGTGATCCTGGTCAGAGCAGTCAGTGGTTGTAGCCGGGCACCATGTAGTTGTACTGGACTCAGTCTGGCGGAGGCTGTGGTAGATGTGGTCTGTTAGTCTTTTGGACTAATCTTTTCCTTGTATCTTGTTTTCTTCATTCTCCCTTGTTCCCAAAGGGGTGAGACCAGTGGAGTATCTTAGATGGCCACTCACAGGCTTTTGAGACCCCAGATGCTACTCACCAAGGTAGAATGTAGAACATTTTCTTTATAAACTATGTTATGCCAGTTGAGCTAGATGTTCCCCGAGATCATATAAGTAATTTTTAAAAGGACTTCGTAGGGATTTTAATGACTGCTTTTTTTTTTCTCCAGAAGTAGATCACCAGGCCTTTCTTCTGAGGCACCTCTGGATGCGAACTAGCAACCTTTTGGTTAGCAGCGTAGTGCATTAACCGTTTGCACCACCCAGAGACTCCTCTGTGATAGCTGTTCTCCAATGTCTTGGTTCCTCTCTTCCTGCCCCTTAAATATCAGTATTGTTCAGCCTTTTTTCCTTTTTTTTTTGTTTCCTACTCAACAGCTTTTCCTTGGGCATTCTTGCAACTCCTATGTCTGTGTAAATGACTCTCAAATCTTTTATTTCTAGCTCAGACCTGTATGTTTACCTTCTGTAAACTCTCTGTGGAGACCTGTGGCATAGTGGTTAAGAGCTCAGCTGCTAACCAAGACTGACAGTTCGAATCCACCAGGTAGCGGCTCTTTGGGAACCCGGTGGGGCAGTTCTACTCCGTCCCCTGTAGGGTCACTATGAGTTGGAGGCAGCTCTACGGCCTGGATTTTTTTTTTTTTTTTTTTAAGCTCTCTGCATTTGCTGTATCTCTTCAGATACAGTGTGTCCAGATTCCTCCCTTTCCTGCGTTTTATTTTTAGGTTCTCAGTAAGAGCTAACACTATCTACTCAACCAAAGTTCTCTCACTTTGAAATTTCTCATCAGCTTTTTCTTGTTCTTTGACTTTGTTGCCCACCAGCCCCTGCCCACCCGTGTGCAAACCTTGGACTCTTTCTCCTAAATGTCGTGTGTGTAAATCTGTTATTACTGCCACCGCCGTAACGGACGCTCGGGTCATCTCTCTTGAAATAACCCTGATTACTGCTCTTCCTTCTGCCTGGTCTATCTGCTGATGGTGGCATCGTTGTAAAATTTAGACTGAATTGTGCTACTGTCTTAAAAACGTTTTTAATGGTTTCCCGCTATCCAGAAATAAAATCATACTTGAGTAGGATTATAGCAAGTACTTGATAGACTGGTTGCAGTCTGTTTCACTAGCTTGATCTCCAGCTCTTCCACTCTTACTGTCTGTAATTCACCTGCTGCGTACTTGTTACATTTCTTAGAATAGATTGCGTTCTCAACTGAATGGTGCACCGCTACCCCCGGTGACCGCCCTGACAGGGAACACAGCAGAGAGTCCCTGATGGAGCAGGAGAAAGGTGGGGTACAGAACTCAAAATTCGAGTAAAAAGACCAGACTTAATGGTCTGACTGAGACTGGAGGAGCCTTGGAAAGCATGGCCGCTGGACTCTGACAAGCCAGAACTAAAACCACTCCAGACTCCAACTCTTCAGACAGAGATTGGACTGGACTGTAGGACATACGGCGATACTTGTGAAGAGTGTGCTTGTTAGCTCAAGTAGATACATGAGACTAAATGGGCAGCTCCTGTGAGGTGGGAAGGCAGAGAGGGTCAGGAGCTGGTTGAATGGACATGGAAATCAGGGGTGGAAAGGAAGAGTGTGCTGTCACAGTGTAGGGAGAGCAGCTAGGGTGACATAACAATGTATGTATGAATATTTGTATGAGAGACTAACTTGAAATGTAGACTTCCACTTAAACTACAACAATAAAAAATAAAAAAATACATATATTATGTTCTCAGAAGCCCTGGTGGCACAATGGTTAAAGCACTCGGCTGCTAACCCAAAAGGTCGGCAGTTTGAACCCACCAGCCACTCCGCCAGTAGAAAGATGTGGCTATCTGCTTCCGTAAAGATTTTAGCCTTGGAAACACTACAGGGCAGTTCTTCTCTGTCCTGTAGGGTCGCTATGAGTCGGAATTGACTGGGTGGTAATGGGTTGTTTTTTTTTTTATTTTCTAGTGTACTTGGTTTCTTGCTGTCAGTTAACCTCTCCCAATCTGTGTTTCTCAAACACTTTGTTCTTTTATGTATTTGTTATAGCACTTCCTATTTTAGTTTC